GCCTCCAGACCTATGGTAAGAAATTTTTTTTTTTTAAAAAAAAGTAGACAGACAGGAAAAATAGACAGTCAATATCCAGGAACTGAGTTGTTGTTTAATTGTTGTGGAGTCCTTGCTGTCCAAGATCAACCAAGCACAGAGAGCACCAAGGACTCCACAGATATTTCTCTTTAACTATTGCCAGATGCATTGATGAGCCGTGGTGGCGCAGTGGTTAGAATGCAGCACTGCAGGCTAACTCTGCCCCACTGCTAGGAGTTCGATCCTAACCGGCTCAAGGTTGACTCAGCCTTCCATCCTTCCGAGGTCAGTAAAATGAGGACCCAGATTGTTGGGGGCAATATAAACTATAAACCGCTTAGAGAGGGCTGTAAAGCACTATGAAGCGGTATATAAAAGTCTAAGTGCTATTTCTATTGCTATTGGTTCAGACGTTTACACCTTGTAATTAGTTCCACAATCAAACTAAAAGAATAACAGAGTGGGAAGGGACCTCGGAGGTCTTCTAGTCCAACCCCTGCTAAAGCAGGAGACCCTATATCATTCGGGACAAATAGCTGTCCAATCTTTTCTTAAAAACTTCCAGTGTTGGAGAACCCACAACTTCTGGAAGCAAGTTGTTCCACTGATGGTTTTGTCAGGAAATTCCTCCTTAGTTCTAGGTTGGTTCTGGTCCTTGATTAGTTTCCATCTGTTGCTTCTTGTCCTGCCTTCAGGTGCTTTGGAAAACAGGTTGACTCCTCTTCTTTGTGACAACCCCTGAGATATTGGGACACTGCTATCATCTCATCCTCTAATCCTTCTTTTCATTAAACTATTCTTAATGTTAGGAAGTTTGACCTTTTTCTTCGGGGACATGAAAAGTGCCATCTTGGCCTTCTCAAAGACAAACTTCACTCATTCCCTCCATCTCCCTTCCTAGTACTCGGCTTCCAGACCTCAATCATTCTTGTTGCTGTTCCTGGGTAGGGAAAAAGTGGACAAGCTCACCTTTACGTTGCCTTCTGCAGAACCTGTGCAGAAACATTCTTCTGAGGAGTCCAAGGCGAGGGCCTTGATGGCGGAATCATGTGCCTGAAATGTATGAAGGGCTTGCCTTTGCCGAATGTCAAAGATGGAGATGTGGCCTTTCCTGCCTCCGGAAATCAGCAGCTGATGTTTCGGTGCATACTGAAGCACTGTGGCGCCATGTTCATGACATGTGAAGGCTAAGAGAGAAGACAATCATCCAGACGGTTCTTAGAAATGGTTATTAGCCTCAACAGATGCCTCAACTGAGTAACATAAGAATAAGGAAAGTCAGCAAGTAGGTAGAACTACTGTATATATACCAGGGGTAGGCAACCTTGGCTCTTTTATGACTCATGGACTTCAATTCTGGGAGTTGAAGACCATGAGTCATAAAAGAGCTGAGGTTGCCTACCCCTGATCTATACCAACTTTTCCCATCCTGGTGTCCTTCAGATGGTGTTGGAAAAACTATCTGCAGAATTGCACCCAAGGGTGCTTCTTCAAAAAGGCAACTGGACTTCCTTGTTTTTGCTTGAAGATGTTTTGCTTCTTCAGAACTGAAGAAGCTTCTTGGATGAGAAGTGAAATGTCTTCAAGCAAAAACAAGAAAGCCCAGTTGCCTTTTGGAAAAAGCACCTTTGGGACAACCATGACCTGGATGATTGAGACTCTCCACAGATGATCTGCAGAATTCCCTAACCAGCATCTTGGATCCTAACATTTGTCCTAACATATCTGGAGGGCAGCATGTCGACGAAGTTTGATTATGGGAATATGGATTTGAGCGCTAAAAAGTGCTGAAGTCTATATTCCCGTTTTCCAAAAGACCTCTCCCAACGATCTATTTTTCTAAAATCTACTTTGGAATGCATCTGGAGGGTACATCCGAGGCAATATTCATAGGATATGACTTGCCTAACTATTATTTATTGATTAAACCATAGTAATCTGGGTTCAGACAATGTGCTGAACCATGATTTGCTAACTAGAGCTACAGGATTTACATAACATACCTACAAGCAAAACCCACCTTATGCCTTAGGACAGGGGTCTCCAAACTAGGCAACTTTAAGACTTGTGGACTTCAACTCCCAGAATTCCCCGACCAGCATGATTGGCTGAGGAATTCTGGGAGTTGAAACACAAGTCGTAAAGCTGCCATGTTTGGAGACCTTGGCTTAGAATGTCTTGTGAACCTGGTTACATTCAGAATGCTATCCTATTTGCTAGCAGGTAGAAAAAAACAAATGGATGACCGATATTTGGGGGCTGTGGAGAGCTTTCAAATGATTGAAATGACACAATTATTTAACTGATTGTTGTCTTCTGATATTAGCGATGTCCAAATGTAAACTCCAGGCCAGTCAAAGAGCAAGAAAAATGGAACAATAAAAAAGAATGGATTGACAGCCCCCCACCCCCGCCCCCAAGTGACTGCAGTGCTTAAAGGAATGCATTCTGACACTCTGTGCTTCTGTCTCAGGGTAAACCTGCAAATTCAGGAATTTTTTTCTTTTCTTTTTAAAAGAACAGCGATAACTGAAAACCTTGTTATCAATTCCCGGAGCCCGCTTTTCTGCCTCTTCTACCAAATTCCTCTGCATCTTCAGGAGAAAATCCATCACCCATCTCTGTCAGGGACACCTGGTTGCTCTCCCAACGTTTAACGTTCTCTGGCCATGCACAGATTACGGTCCTAGAGACTATCTCCTCCTCCACATTTACGCATACTTGGGCTCTTATCGTGCAGATTAGCTCATTTGTTTTGTCTACTTCAGAGACAGGCAAATTCTGCAGAGACTCTCTCTCGAGGCCTTTCGGAACAGAGACTTGGGGGGGGGGGAAGCAGGAAGTAACTGCTTGCTTAAGGAGAGGATAGGAGAAGGGGGCGGTTGTGCCAAGTTCATAACAGAAGTTTTAAAACTTATCCTGTTGACTTGGGAAAGTTTATAGGCAACCAAACGTCTGAAGAAAGACTGAGTAACACAGGATGGTTAAGCCAGCAGGCTAGATTGTGGGAGACTGGGAGTTCTAGTCCTGCCTTAGCCATGACAGCCAGCCGGGTGACTTTGGGCCAATCGCTAGGAAACTGGGAGTTCTAGTTCCGCCTTAGCCATGACAGCCAGCTGGGTGACTTTGGGCCAATCGCTAGGAGACTGGGAGCTCTAGTTCCGCCTTGGCCATGACAGCCAGCTGGGTGACTTTGGGCCAATCACTAGGAGACTGGGAGTTCTAGTTCCGCCTTAGCCATGACAGCCAGCTGAGTGACTTTGGGCCAATCACTAGGAGACTGGGAGCTCTAGTTCTGCCTTAGCCATGACAGCCAGCTGGGTGACTTTGGGCCAATCGCTAGGAGACTGGGAGTTCTAGTTCTGCCTTAGCCATGACAGCCAGCTGGGTGACTTTGGGCCAATCGCTAGGAGACTGGGAGTTCTAGTTCCGCCTTAGCCATGACAGCAAGCTGGGTGACTTTGGGCCAATCGCTAGGAGACTGGGAGCTCTAGTTCCGCCTTAGCCATGACAGCCAGCTGGGTGACTTTGGGCCAATCATTCTCTCTTCTCAGCCCAACCCACCTCACAGGGTTGTTGCTCTGGGGAAAATAGAAAAATGAGTATTATGCATGTTCCCCACTTCAGTTATTTATAAAAATAATAAAACTGGGATACAGATTAAATAAACAAAATGAAACTAAAATAAAATAGGGTTCACCTCGAATCAAGATATATGGCAAGAAACCTACCATGTATGAGGTTGTTAGATGATGACACCAAGGTGTCCCACAAGCACACATTTCTGTAAAAGAAAGCACACCCATGAAAGACAGTACTCAACAGTCACCAGTCCCACGTTGGGTGACTGTCCCACCCGACTTGTTTTCTGAACACACCGGTTGTCATTAGACTGTCCAGATGTGGCCACCAGACTTGAAGAGGTAATGAAGGCAAAGTCACTTGTGGTTTTGCTGTGGCACTGCCAGCTCTGTAAAACAAAAAAACACACACACACAAGAACAACAGCGACAGACACAGTGTGTTCAGTGGTAGGGTACAAACTGCAAATCCTAAATTCAGATTGTCCAGCCATCACGTCTTCTCAAGCCAAACAGCTGGCACACCCAAGAGAGTTTAAAATTGCCAGTATATATTCTCAGCTGTAAAGCACAGGAAATGAAAAGGAGCTTAATTAACACTTTTCATTCATAATTATAATCTTTTCTTGTAATCGCTAAGAGGAGAGCAATCTAATTAAAATATGACACTTGGAAAGGACGAGATGCTTTCCTAGACTCTGTGTACCATCTAAATGGATTTCAAGGATTAGAAATCAAGGCACAATTAGCCATCTGGAAGTCTTGCAGCAGATAGGACCCATAAGTGGAGTTATGAAAGTCGAGAATGAATGAATGAGTAAATAACTAAATAAGTAAATAAGTAAATAAATAAATAAATAAATAAATAAGTAAGTAAGTAAGTAAGTAAGTAAGTAAGTAAGTAAGTAAGTAAGTAAGTAAGTAAGTAAGTAAGTAAGTAAATAAATAAATAAATAAATAAATAAATAAATAAATGGGCATGGAAAATAACTTTTTTTCTGCCAATGTTGGGTGATTTGTTCTTTCCCTCCTTTGAATTGTTCCATGGTTTTGCTTCTCTAGATCTCCTCAGCCCTATCAACAAGCTTTAACGTAAAGGTATATACCTCCCCGTAGAGTTTTTAACCCTACTAGGCCAGGTATAGCTCCCAAAATTGTCTTCTGACCTGCAAAGTCCATCAAATGGACACTTTATCAGATGGGAAAGAATGGAATTATTTGACGTCTTCCAAGAAGCCATCAGAGCAATGTTTCTCAACCTGGACAACTTTGTGACGCGTGGACTTCAACTCCCGGAATTCCTCAGCAAGCAAACTGGTTAAGGGAATTCTGGGATTTGAACACCACACACCTTGAAGTTGCCAGCACTGCACCAGAGAGTGATTTAAAATACATATATAAAGAGGCACTCATGTTTGACTTACTGTTAGATTCTAACAAAGAGCAGATGGTTATATGGTTTATATGGTTCTTAGAGAGGGCGGGGGGAGCTGGAAAAATAAAGATAATTGAATACAAATTGCCCAGTAATCTTACTTTCCACATCCAGCTGATGTCCACCTCATCAAATGGGTTAGGAAAGTAAGATTATTGAGCAATTTGTATTAAATTAGCCTGGTTTTCCAGCCTCTCCCCCCCAATTTTCTACTTGTCTCAATCGAAAGAGACAAGCAGAAAATAAAAAAAAAAAACGTGCAGATTTCTCCTGATTACTTACCAGATAGGGTTTAGGATTGCTTGAAGTTTGGTTTACTTGCCAAATACTTAAGAATCCTTCTCCGTCAGCCACCCCACACTGCAAGAGACAAATTTCACACATCAGTGGCTCTGTGAGCGTGTTCCAAAGAGCCACGTGGTAAATGAATGTTCGTTTATCAAGAAGCAATTTCACTTTAAAAAAAACCCCAATACATTTAGGATCTCTTTTATTGAATGGAGTGCTGAGTTCATCCTCTACATCCGTGTTTTTCAACCTTGTCGGCTTTAAGATATGTGGTGATGGGACAGCTGTAGAATTTCCCCTTCGAGCGGAGAAACAGAGAAACTCAACTGCTGATCAGCACTGATGATGTTACCTAGTCAGGTAATTAAATGTCTACAAGCAAACCAAGGACCCCATAGTGGTTTCACTCTTCCTCCTCTCCAATTCGTAAACTCCCCCCCCTTCTAGCATTGATGATGTTACCTAGTTGGGTAATGAAATGTCTGTTTATAGCATCTTGTGGTAACACAGTCAACATTTTATAATGGTTTTCCTGAAGACTAGAGTTATTTCCGGTTTTGGCTAAAACTGTGCAATAGCTCGCTTAACGACTGTGTTCTTTTAACGACCGTGGCCTTCGTTCTACAACTTGTTCTGCAAGTGAAAGGCCTCACCTTATTGCCCTGAGGATTGAAATACATTCGAGTAACCCTGGCGTTGCCTGCTTGCCGGAAGCACACCAGCTGTTGAGGTCTGGTCCATTCAAACATTCGGACGCTGCCATCCTGGGCTCCGGTAAGATCTGGCAAACCATCCCAAGTGCCCAAACAAGAAATTGTGATTAGCACATAATAACAGAACAGAGAAACTACAAGAGAATAACGAAGTTGGAAGGGGCCTTGGAGATCTTCTAGCCCAGTGGTGGCGAACCTATGGCATGCGTGCCAGTGGTGGCGAACCTATGGCACGCGTGCCAGAGGTGACACTCAGAGCCCTCTCTCTGGGCACGCACACCGTCACCCCAGCCCCGCCTCCTCCCACGGCCCCCTCCTCACCAGCAGCCCCCCTAGAGGAGAGTCGCCCCCGGGTGTGGCCCACGCGGAACAGCGCAGCCAAGGACATGGCAGCCAGGCAGCGGGGACAAGACTCCGCCCTTGCGCCCCGTCACGTGCAGATGATGCTGCCGGGCGCGCGCAGAGGGCATGGCCACCATGGTGCTGCTGGGCCACCTGGGCAATCTGCGGCAGGCTGTGGAGGCGGTGGATGGCACGCGGGGCAGGGACGGTGTGGGGGTGTGTGGGGGTTTGGGCACTCAGTCTCTAAAAGGTTCGCCATCATTGTTCTAGCCCAACCCTCTGCTCAAACAGGAAAGCCCTACAACATTTCAGACAAATGACTGTCCGGTCTCTTCTTAAAAGCCTTCCTAACCAGCGAAAGGGAAGGAGAAATGTGACCAGATCTCATTTCTAAGGTTCTTCTTTAGGTTGCTGTAAGTAATTGAACTGATATTCTATCTTTTCTCAGATTTAAAGGGGGCCCTGCACGGAGTTTCCCCAGATGGATCCCAAGAAGTAGAAATAGTGAATTCTGTTCAAATGGGCTCTCTCTGGCTTTAGGTTTGGTACTTTCCTCACCGCCCTACCCGATCTCTCCGCCATTCGAGCCGCCAGTCAGAAGAAGTACTTACAGTATTGATGGATCGGGTGAGATGTCATTCTTTTGACATTGTTCAAGTTCCGTTTGATGAGCTGCGTGCAAAAGGCAATGAAATTCACCATCAGCTGGGTTGCTCCACAACTGACAGAATAGCTCGCGTTCATAGCAAAAAGAAAAAGAAAAAGAAAAGGAATAATGTATGTCCTTGCAATATTTAATACTAAATTCTCAGTGTACTGTATATTAAAGTGGATCTTGGGATCATTTATTGCTAAGATATCCAAGAAAAGAATGTTAAGGATAAAAGGGAAAAAAATAAATCTGGTATTTTCTGCCATCTAGTGGCTTAGTAAATGTACATCATGTGACAGCATTTTGCAGTCCTTATCTAATCCTAAAAAGTTTGCAGGATTAATGCTCTGTCTGTCTGTCTGTCTGTCTATCTAGTCCAGTGTTTCTCAAACTTGACAATTTTAAGGCATGTGGACTTCAACTCCCAGAATTCCACAGCCATCAATGCTGGCTGTGGAATTCTGGGAGTTGAAGTCCACATGCCTTAAAATTGTCAAGGTTGAGAAACACTGATCTAGTCCATCTGTCCATCCATGAATATACTTATCAGTCTGTCTGTCCATCCATGCAGAGAACCACCCATTTGTCTGTCAATCCGTCCGTCCATCCGTCATCTATCTATCTATCTATCTATCTATCTATCTATCTATCTATCTATCTATCTATCTATCNCTCTGTCTCTCTCTCTCTCCCTCCCTCCCTCCCTCCCTCCCTCCGTCCGTCCGTCCGTCCATCCATCCATCCATCCATCCATCCATCCATCCATCCATCCATCCATCCATCCATCTATCTATCTATCTATCTATCTATCTATCTATCTATCTATCTATCTATCTATCTATCTATCTATCTATCTATCTATCTATCTATCTATCTATCTATCATCTATCTATCTATCTATCTATCATCTACCTACCTACCTCTATCATCTCTGTTTCTCTCTCTCTCTCTCCAGCCATATCCCACCTTTATTACTTAGCAAGTCAATCAAGGCGGCAAACACACACACAGAGAAAAAAATACATGGGTCACCAGATGTAACATTGTGGACGGAAGACGAAGAGACAAAATATTTGATGGTATTCAAATGGAGGAGAGTGCACCAGGAGAAATTACTTACTATGCCAGCTCCGGTACTCGTTTGCCCACTGCCCAACCACGGCATTGATGAAGTGGACAGATTTGAAACGTGCTGCATCTGAGCCACTGCAAAAGACGCAGCGCTGGACTGTGTAAGCGTGGTGGTGGAGCCACGAAAATCAACATCGTCTGAACTACACACACACAAAAAAGGCGAAAATAGAATATTGGAATTTTACGTGGCTAAGACTGAAAGAGCAGTAAATTCCAGCATTCAGAAACTGGTGAGACTTCACTCATCTAAGCAGTGCTTAGCCTCTCTCAAAAATGGACAATTGAGGAAAACAGAGGGCTGATGTTTAATTTGGATCAAAATTAAGGGGGTTTTTTTGGGAGGGGGGGAGAAAAGAGGCACAGCAAAAGTAGAACAAAGTTGCAATTTCAGCGTGACGATGAACAAAACAGAAAAGACTGGAGAATCCTAATTTTTTGCACTGTAAGTTTTAGTTAGATTTCCCTAAATCTTGTAAGAATTAAGAAGTTGGACCACAAGTGAGTTAGAATCTTTGCTGGACCATGAGTTAGGGAGATCTGGGTTAGGATCTTTGCTTGACCATGGTTTTGGAGATCTGGGTTAGGACCTTTGCTTGACCATGGTTAGGGAGATCTGGGTTAGAATCTTTGCTGGACCATGAGTTAGGGAGATCTGGGTTAGGATCTTTGCTTGACCATGGTTTTGGAGATCTGGGTTAGGACCTTTGCTTGACCATGGTTAGGGAGATCTGGGTTAGGACCTTTGCTTGACCATGGTTAGGGAGATCTGGGTTAGAATCTTTGCTGGACCATGGGTTAGGGAGATCTGGGTCAGGATCTTTGCTTGACCATGGTTAGGGAGAGCTGGGTTAGGACCTTTGCTTGACCATGGAACTGATGGGCTGACTAGTAGACCAAGCTACCTTACAGAGTTGGCAGAAAGAGGGGAGGCTTTCCCTTGAGGTCCATGAAAAAAAAAAGGGAGATGGGTCCATACATGATAACATCAATAAAAACTGGTGAGACCATCCAACCTTTTTGACTCCTTGTCAAACTCTTCTCCGATCCATATGTAGGGTTGTGCGGCCAACAGGGCAGATACGTCCAGTTCTTGCACATCGTGGGTGGAAGCTAAAACGATCTCATTGATGTTTGCCTGCACAAGACCCCACCCCCCCAGGCCAAAGCTTAGGTGTTAGAGGCCTTGGGTTCAGCCAAAGGTTAATGCCACGAAGGTAGCCATGGCTTCAGAGGGCCTTACCTTATTCACCGCAAATGCGAGGATCATGTCTGACTCCTTGTGTATAATTTTGGCTCTTCCTCCTGGATAGCCAAGTTCCGCCTCCACCTGGAAAAGAGGGAAGCTCTCCT